TACTACTGATACTTCCCCTTAATGTGTCTTTCTATGTGTTCGTCAGTGCACTACTCAATTTTTAATCCCCACCCCCATTTCAAACATCAGTTGTTATTATTAATAGTATTATTAATTTTCTTATTTTAAAATTAAGACATGGCTGTTGTACTGTTAGAAATATTAATGCTACTGTCGAATCAGCTGGATAAATGTGCATGTGCTTATTGCATGCTTTTTTACATACTACAATGTGTAGGTATTACCAAGGCCTTGGGACAACAACTTAGCCATAACTGGAGTATGTGACTGACAGCTGTGTTTTTAGTAAATGCAAAGATAAATGGATTAAAACAGCTTCCTTAGTAAGGAAACATCACAAATCACACCATCTGCTAGAAAAGCTAAGCTTTACAAATAAATAGAGCATCTTTTAAAACTTCTTAGGAACGATTGGAGCTGAATATATATTTTCAGTTAGCAGTAAATTACTGATGTAAGTCATATTCTTGAAGACATTTCACTGGTCATCCAACCAGCTTTCTCAATTCAGAATGACTACAAAAAATTATCTGGGAATACATTTTGTGAATGTTGCTCCAATCCACATAATCTGTTAGTCACAACCAGGTGTTGATTTAATTTGCGTAATTGGAGTCTAGAGGGTGTTATTAACCTGCCCAGAGAGGTGAGGTGTTAAAACAGCATTGTGTGTGGCAGACAATAGATGTCTCACTCCCCCACCTCTATTCAAGCTTGGCTTCTCCATTTTTACATATTTGGCCTCTTTCACACTTCTTTTAAACCAGTCCTCCTGCCTGTCTACGATGCGTACATGACTGTCTTCAAAGGAGTGACCTTTTTTCTTTAGATGAGGGTATACTGCCGAATCCTGACCAGAGGGTTTTGCTCTTCTATGCTGTGCCATACGCTGGTGTAGCTGCTGTTTTGTTTCACTGACATACAATTCGGAGCACTACTCACTGCACTGGACTGCATACTCAATGTTGTTCATCTTGTGTTTTGGCATTGGGTCTCTTGGGTGAACCAGTTGTTGCCTCAGTGTATTGCTGGGTTTAAAGCAGACAGGGATGTGATGTTTTTTGAACACCCTTCTGAGTTTCTGAGTCCCAGCTACATATGGGATGACCAAATTCTTCAGTTTGTCATGCTTTTCACCCTCACTGGTACTCTTGACATTTTTTCATCTCCTTTTTTCAGTTTTGACAAAAGTCCAATGGTGTAATGAAGTGTACAGCGCTAAATGCCCTTCAGGAAATTAGATAACGGTAGGGATCATGTGGTGTCACCTCCGTGTCAAGCAATCGTGAAAAAGTGTATATATAATAAATATTTGTGTAAAAACTTATAGTATGTTATAAAATGTGTCAGCAGGTGTCATAAAAGGCGTGTCATACATGACAAAAGTCCAGTCTGGATACCCGCAAAAAGTCCAGTCTGGATACCCGCAAGTATTAAGGGCCCCCCTGAGGTGTTTGAATTCTTTTGTCTTGGCCTCTGTTCTGGATGGAATTTTCTCTGCCCGGTGGTGTAGAGTCCTGATGACTCCCAGTTTGTGGTCTAAAGGGTGGGAGTCAAATAGCAGGCACTGGTCCACGTGTGTTAGTTTTCAGTAGACCTCTATTGCCAGCCTCCTTCCCTCTTCTACTGTTACTAAACAATCCAAAAAAGCCAGTTTGTTGTTTTACATATCTTCCTGTGTAAACTTGATGTTATGATCCACTGAGTTGATATGGTCAGTGAAACACTGTAACTCTTGCTTGTGAATCTTAACCCAAGTGTCATCCACATATATGAACCAATGACTGGTTGTATGTCCCTTGAAGATGGTCAGGGCCTTGCTTTCTACTTCCTCCATGTACAGGTTCGCCACAATAGGTGAAACTGGCGATCACATGGCACAGCCATGTTTATGCCTGTAGAACTTGTCCTTATACTTGAAATTGGTGGTACTCAGGGAAAGGTCCAATAAGGCACACACTTGATCTGGGTTAAGTTATGTTCTGCTGCCTAGGGTGTTGTCTAGTAGCAACTGTCTTCTCACTGTTCCAATTGCCTCTGTGGTGGGTATGCAGAGGGATGTGACATCATAGGATACCATTGTTTCTTCTCTGCCCAATATTAAGTTTTTGATTTTGTTTGTGAAATCCTGAGAGTTCTGTATGTGGTGTTGTGTATTTCCAACTAACTATCTTATGTATCTTCACCAGGGTAGAGGCGATGATACATAGCCCAATCAATGGCTTTGTCCTTTTCCAGCTTCACAGACATTAATAGCTTATGTTACAGAAGGCACCAGTATGGCTGCAAATAAGCCAAAAATCAATGAATAAAAGTAGTGTGTTATATAATAAGATTATACTATAAGACACTCTATGAAACATATTGGTACACCAGGTTGTTCACAAACTGACACCGTGGTATATAACAAGAATGAATTGATGAAAATAAAATGAATTTTGCAGTCATATGTTTTTGCAAATTATACTATAGCACAAGAATTGTGATCTATAGGCACTTTAGTTATATATTTTTATTTCTTATTTGTAGTTGAATATAGTACACCATTATGGGCTTACTTGCCTAATATATTTCCTTCAATTTTTTAATTTGTCAGTTTTGTTATTGTTTCCATTTTTCTACTTCATTTGCTTATGTGATGACTTTTCTAGTTTTTTAAGTACACTGAAGTTTTGATGTAGTGTCTTTTAAAATAGATGCAATTGGCAACCAAATTACATTTAGTTTGCTTAAGCACTTTGTATCATAATCAATTTATATGTTTTTTTTTCCTTTTAGAAAATACTTTTTTCATCTTTTTTTGCATCTCAGTGCTGCTGCTCTCCTAGAGCCACTTCCTGGCTATGCGTACACATTTTTGTGGTTGCTGCATATATTTTCTCAGGATGGGTTTCCTAATTGTGACAGAGTTCGAATATGGCAAAGTGCATCGGCATGGCTGCTATAGTTGCCACCGGAAGTGCATGTGACATAGTGGCAATGAACAAGCACAATTGGGGAAGAAAATTACTTTGGAAATAAATTTACACATTAAGATTATATGACACAATTGATGTGATTCAGGAAAGGCCATGTACATCATCAGAAGTTGAAGACAAACCTTGGGCACATATTTGCATAAACTTTGGGATAATGAAATCTAGTAAAATTAACGTACGTTATCTGCATAGGTGCAAAGTGCATGTGTGAAATCTAAAGTCCACATTATTGGAGGAGCGACTATAGTAGATGCAGGAGGATGAAGCTTGCTCCCCATAATTGTTTATTGATCGTACCATAGAAAAAGAGAGGGCATGACCTATGGGGAATGAAGTGAAAAAAACTGAAGCTTTGAGACCTAGCAACTGACAACACTGAGAGAGAAACCTTGAGGCAGGTAAAAGGTTTGCTATAAGGACTTTCACCAATATTGTCAAAGCCTTTGAGACATCCTAACCATGTGCATTTGTCAGATGTGTGTAAAACAAAAATAATACATATAATGTGCTTGACCCTGGTGGGTCTGAAATTCCTGTAAAGTTTTCCAAATCACAGTAATCTTTAAAGGAGATAAGGATATAAGTGCGGATGAATTGTTGGAATTCTAATACTGATATAAGGATATCAAGTAGATAAGGGATAATAGTTGACCAGCAAAAAATAGAATATTCTAGAACAAATTCATTAAAAAAACTGTTGAAAGTTCAATAACTCTGGCTTAGTAAAATCTTATAAACCAGAGTAAAGGTTTCAGTATGACTCTGTGGGGTTGATTTAGTAAAGAAAGAGAATGTTCACTCAACCACGGGAGTTCTATTCATGGCAATCTTCCAATCATGTGCAAGCAAATGTTTTTTTTTTTCATTTTTCCTTCACATGGCTGGGTAATCGAAGTGAACAAAGTTTCACTAAAGTAAACATTCTCTTCCTTTAGGAAATTAACTCCTGTGATAATTTTGAATCTGGCATATTCACCAATCGCTAAGAGGTGAACCAATGGTGTGAGCAGTAGCGTTGCAAAGTATTTTAGATGTCCTGAATTTTCTACTTCTCTGGTCTGGGACACCATCATCAAAGAGTTAGAACACTAATGGTTTCAATGTAAGAACTTGTCACTAAAAAGAGGAAATATACCAAAATGTGAGAAGACAGAAAAGAGAAACTAGAGAGAATCATATGGTGAATGAGATTGTGTGGGGAAGAGATACATCCTCATCTACTGTTTATCATTGCATTCTACAAGACCTCCAACATTTCAGCAGCCACACCCCAGGTTTTTTTTGCACCTTTGTGACACCGCTGACTTTAAGAACAACCATTCATATTCAGATATTTTTTAACTTAATAAGGGTGATTTACTAAAGGAGTTGAAAATGTTCACACAATAAACTCTGTGAATATTAAGTTCAATTATTCAAACATCTGAAAACCAAATGCCCCCTCCCCAGACAATGTGCCCCCCTCCCCACCAAACCCCCCCAATGGAGAATGCCAACCAACAAACATAGATTGCTGAGATCTGTAGTCTTCTATAGCTGGTTGCCATCCTCTATTACTGTATAATCATTAATTATACAGCAATGGAGAATGGCAACTGTCTACAGAGAACTACAGATCCTATCAAGCCATGATTACACAGCAATTATACAGGAGTGCATGCAAATCTCACCAGGGCTGCATTTGGGTCTCAGCAGGGCTGAGTTTAGGTCTCCGCAGGGCTGAGTTTAGGTCTCCCCAGGGCTGCATTTGGGTCTTACGAGGGCTGAGTTTGGATCTTACCAGGACTGCGTTTGGATCTGAGCAGGGATGTGTGCTGGTCTCAGCAGGGATGCATGCAAGTCTCACCAGGGATGCATTTGGGTCTCACCAGGGATGCATTTCGGTCTCGCCAGACCTGCGTTTGGGTCTCAACAGGGCTGCGTGCAGATCTCAGCAGTGATGCATGCAGATCTCACCAGGAATGCATGCAGGTCTCACCAGGGATGCATGTGGGTCTCACCAGGGCTCTATGGGTGGGTGCTAGGCTCTCCAGGGCTCTGCATGCGGTTTCTGGGCTCTCTAGGGCTGAAAGGATGGGATCTGGGCTTGTGCCAGGCTCTAGGGCTGTGCTGGTGGGTGGGGATGTCCTGTGCTGTGCCGGCCTTGGGAAGGAGGAGGAGGCAATCAAAGAAAGCTGCCTGAGGTCCCCAGCAAGCTCAGGACCTCAGGCAGCCGAACTTCCTCAAAAATGTATAGGGCCAGTATCGGTTGTGCTGCCCCCTTACTCCCTACTGCCCCAAGGCAGGAGTTAGCCATCTTTTTTTGGGGGGGGATGCTCTTTCCTTAAAGGAACTATTAAGTGCTGAAGGGCACATGGGGTAATATCAGCTTGGCAGTGGGCCTTGTACTTCCTGGTCCTAAAACCATGGGATTGCAGTATGCATGACTGATGTGCATGGATAGTAATAATAATTCAGTAAGAAAAGCAGTTAAAAAAACAAACAGATTAAAGACCACATATGTCCCGTTTGACAGTCCTTATACTGACTGTCTAAACAGTCTAAACAGACCATATCTCTTTTTTTCTTAGCCATGATAAAAGTTGTGCTTCACTTCCATTTCTTATTGCATTGTTAATCTTGTGGGGCCCAGGAAATCTCCTGCACTGTGCCCCAGAGCTGTCAGACCATGAGGCCATGACAGAAGCCACAGCTGAGGGAATATTACATCACAGGAGGGAGAGCTAGGGAATCAACAATTTCTGAAGTGGACAATTTCCCTAAGAACTTTAGAAGCCCACTATTGGCCAAATACATACAATATTAAAAAAAAGGAAATCGGGAACTGTAAGTACATGAAATTCTAAGTAAATCTGTGCTGGCAACAAAAAAAATTTCCGGCAATGACTGGGTTTTTTTAAGCTCTAAGTTTGACCCTTAACCGTAGAACTAACCTAAGATCAACCATACTTCTGTTGATAATAGCGAAAATGAATGTTTATAGAAATTCATTCAGAGGCAGTTGCACTGTATATTTGTGGATAGCTTTTTTTTTACATAGCATCAATGCTTTTCTTTGTCATTCTCTGCATGACATTCTAGGATTCTGGGATTGAGAAACATTGCAATGCTGCAATCCCCTTGTGCTATGGGACAGTACAGTGTGTAATAGAGACAGATTATCAATTAATTCTCTGCATACTCATACATATGCAAAAATATGCCTAACACCACATTAAAACAGAAAAACATTTAATTAAGTGCAGAATACAATAGACTGATCATCCATGCCAAGGTTGCCCTCTTCTGGTCAGCACTGCACTAGTTACAAAATATAAAAAATTCTGTTTGTTCTATACTTATACTATATGATTAACATGTGCCTGATACAGAAACTGGTGGAAAAAAACCTGTAGCTGTTGAAAAGAGCAACAAAACAAGGCCTGTACATAAAATGAAAAGGTTCCTACTCATATCTTGACAACTACCCGTCCTCGAACCTTGACATTTTTTGCCTCTGACAAAGTTGGAAGGTATGTGCACTGAGAAAAGAAAAAGGAAAGATTGGTGCTCCTTTGAATTTTTTAACAAGCTGCAAAAAAATTATCTTTGCACACAATGACAATAAATTGTAATGATTTGGACCCCTTGACAGCTCTATTTCTGCAACCATAACTCCAGGTCTGACTGGCTTTTTCATCAATCCAAAACTGCCTTTGCTCCATGGAATTCAATACCTAAACAATGCTCACTCCTATAATTACCAAAAATGTAAACTTGTCCACAGACAATTGTTCATGTAGTCTCCGATCCCCCCACAAACGTTCCAAAGTGATTCGGCACCTAGCCAAACTAAAAGCAGATATTGCATTACTACAGGAGACCCACCTCCCCGGCTCAGACTTGAGGTATTGGGATGGAGAGGTGTTTGGTTCTTTCTCCGAGGGCAGAAAAGCAGGCATGGCTATACTATTCAGAAAAACATTGACGCTTCAAATTACTAGCTCATTTAATGACAGGGTCGCCAGAGCACAGTTCACTTCCGCATATACGATGCTGACTATGTCATTTATAACATTTACGCCCCAAATGCACCAACGCGGGCCTTTTTCAAGGAAATCGTCACTTTCATTAGCCAAGTGTGCTCAACAAATGCTATAGTGGGAGGTGACATGAACTCGGTTGTGTCTGCCTTGGAGGATAGGCGATCGGCCAAGCGCATGGAGGCCCCCAGATCCCCAGCTACCCCATCGGCCCTATTACAGTTCCAGGAACTGCTATCATCGAAGGAAGTCTGGCGATTACATCACCCTGAGTCAGGCCCGTCTTTAACCCTTTCGCTGCCAAGCCCTCCGGAACATTTTTCAAATCAGCTGGCCAAATCTGAATAAACCAGGGCTCTGTAAGGTTTCACCAGGGCTCTCACCAGCCTGGTTAGACCCCTCAGAGCCCTGGTGAGACCCTAGAGAGCCCTGGTTTAACCAGGCCTCTGTGGGGTCTACCCAGGGCTCTGTAGGGTCTCGCCAGCCCTAGTTAAACCCCACAGAGCCCTGTTGGGACCCTACAAAGCCCTGGTGAGACCCTATAGAGCCCTGGTTTAACCAGGCCTCTGTGGGGTCTACCCAGGGCTCTGTAGGGTCTAACCAGCTTGGTTAGACCACACAGAGCCCTGGTGGGAGCCCACAGAGCCCTGGTGAGATCCCAAAGAGCCCTGGTTAAACCAGGGCTCTGTAGGGTCTAACCAGCTTGGTTAGACCACACAGAGCCCTGGTGGGATCCCACAGAGCCCGGGTGAGATCCCAAAGAGCCCTGGTGGGATCCCAAAGAGCCCTGGTTAAACCAGGGCTCTATAGGGTCTCACCAGGGCTTTGTAGGGTCCCAACAGGGCTCTGTGGGGTTTAACTAGGGTTGGTGAGACCCTACAGAGCCCTGGGTAGACCCCACAGAGGCCTGGTTAAACCAGGGCTCTGTAGGGTCTCACCAGCACCAGGGTTCTGTAGGGTCTCACCAGGGCTATGTGGGGTCTCAACGGCCTGGTTAGACCCCTCAGAGCCCTGGTGAGACCCCACAGAGCTCTGGTTAAACTAGGGCTCTGTGGGGTCTCACCAGGGCTGGTAAACCCCACAGAGCCCTGGTGAGAACATACAAAGCCCTGGTTTAACCAGGGCTCTGTGAGGGCTCACCAGGGCTCTGTGGGGACTGGTTAGACCACACAAAGCCTGGTAAAACCCCACAGAGCCCTGGTTAAGCCAGGGCTCTGCAGGGTCTCACCATGGCTCTGTAGGGTCTCGCCAGGGCTCTGTAGGGACTAACCAGCTTGGTTAGACCCCCACTGGGCCCTGGTGAGATCCCAAAGAGCCCTGGTGAAATCCCAAAGAGCCCTTCAGAGCTCTATAGGGTCTCATCAGGACTTTGTAGGGTCCCAACAGGGCTTTGTGGGGGTTTAACCAGGGCTGGTGAGACCCCACAGAGCCCTGGTGAGACCCCGCAAAGGCCTGGCTAAACCAGGGCTCTGTGGGGGCCTCACCAGGGTAGCAGTCCTGTGGGGGGTCTCACCAGGGCACTGTGGGGTCTAACCAGCCTTGTTAGACCCCACAGAGCCCTAGTGAGACCCCACAGGGCCCTGGTTATGCCAGCGCTCTCCACAACGCTCTCCTCAGGGCTCTCCAGGCCGCCACCCACCAGTACTTTGCTGGCCGTGTCTCGGGGGCGGAAGCTGGCAGGAGCATGCCAGCTCCATCTGCTGCTGAAGATAAACTCCAAACTCCAAGCCAGAGGCCCTCGTGTTGTGGATGGGAGGGGTGAGGTCTCTTCTCATTGGCTGGTGGCAGAGCTCCAGAAGACCGAGTGGAGGGACTGTACAGACGATCGAGGAAACGTATGAGCGCTCAGCCCTGTCACTGTCAAACTGAGAGTCTCAGTTTGACAGCGGCAGGGCTGAGAGCGCACAACGTTACCTGACTGCGAGCAAGGTAATGTGCTGTTCCGACAGGGCAAACAAGGCGCCCCTATTATTCATAGGGGCGTCGGGCCCCTATGAATAATAGGGGCCCGACGCTGAAGTGCTGTCCTCTGCAAAGGCTCCCCACCTCAGCGTCGAGCCCCTATTATTCAGCCTTGGGCACCAGCTGCTTGCTGCTACTGTGCTGGTGCAGAATCAGCACAGTAGCAGCAAGCAGGTGGTGCCAAAGGCTGAATAGGGGTCCGACGCTGGGGTGAGGGCGAGGGAAGCCTTTGCAGAGAACAGCTGCTGTCCTCTGCAAAGGCTTGCCCTACCCTCACCCCAGGGTCGGGCCCCTATTCAGTCTTGGACACCAGGCCAGCTGCTTGCTTTTACTGTGGTGATCTCTGCAGAAACGTCGGCTATATAAACTAAGCTGCTGTGCTGTCCCCCCCAGCCCCAGGCCAGACACCAAGCCTCAATTGCTGCTATCCCCCCAGCCAGCCCCAGACTCATCTCACTCAGCAGCTGCTGCTGTTCCCTTCCCCCCCAGCTCCAGATCATTGCTGGCTTACCTTATCAGTGCAGTGACTTGACTACACACAGGCTCTGCCGCTCAGCCTCCAGCTGTGAGAGCTCCGCGGCTGCCCCTGAGGAAAAAAAACCCTTCCTGCATGTGGGCAGGAAGGTACCAAAACATCACATTAGATGGGGGGTTTGGGATGTACCAACTGTTCCGTGCGAGTCGTACGGAACAGTTGGTACGTCTCAACCCCCCCATCTAATGTGATGTTTTGGTACCTTCCTGCCCACATGCAGGAAGGTTTTTTTTTTCTGTGCTGATTCTACAGTACAACCACGGTGGGCAGCGGGCTCAAGGGGCAGCTGCTTTGGGCCCCACAACCATGACAGGGCCCGGGGCAAGTGCCCTCCGTGCCCTGCGTTAAAGACGGCCCTGCCCTGAGTGAAGGGAATACACCCATTGTTCACATGTCCATGCTTCCTTATCCCGCATCGACTACTTATTTTGTTCTCCGTCCTTACTTCCCAAAGCGACCAGACCTATCATCAATGATATTGTTATTTCTGCCCCCATGCCCCCATAGAACTGACGATCCAATCTACATTGCCCAGGGGGGATGCTAGGATCTGGAGATTCCCCTCCCATCTGCTTAAAGACCACCTATTCCAATGCTTCCTCAGCGTAGGCTGGGGTGAATATTCAGAAACCAACCAGGGCTCGGTCACCTCCCCTATTTCATATTGGGAATCAAGCTGTACATGATTGGATATGTAAAGTGAACACTACAATTTATTGAGTGAAGATTCTTAACTCTCTTACTAAATCAGCCTTATTGACTGGAATACATTAAGGGGTCTATTCACTAAGCTGCCGAAGGATCTAGCCGTAGCTTCGGCTGATCCTTCGGCTGGCTTCAGACCCAGGACCCCTTCGGTTCAGTAGAACCGAAGGTCTACTGTACTGGCTATTCAGTATAGCGCGTACAGCTCCCGAAGTTGGCCAAGCGGCTTAGTCGAGCCGATCTGTTTTTTTTTCCCCTGACATGGAGCCGCTGGCTGCCCTCAGTCAGAAAAGTCAGAAAAAACAAACAAACACCATAGGAATGCATAGCTAGATTCATATTGGCTATTTCACTTAGCAATAGCCAATAGCAAACAAGCTATTGCACCCGCCCACTGCTGCTGTCAATCAGCAGAGGGGGACCTGCAGTTCTCCATCAGGTCCCCCGCTGGTGATTGACAGCAGCAGAGGGCGGGTGCAGTAGCTAGGCTGCTATTGGCGAAATAGCCAATAGGAATCTAGCTATGCATTCCTATGGTGTGTTCGTTTAAAAAAAAATTTGGGGGGGACGGCAGCAGAACCGCTGTCGTACTCCTTCTGCACTTCGGGTCAGCCAAACATGCTGAGCATGTTCGGCCGACCCGAAGCCACACGAAGCCACCCAATGTATGGCTGATTTCAGCCGATATACGGCTGAAATCAGCCGTACAAGCCTGAAGTGAATAGCCGAACAGCGTTCGGCTC